GCGAGCCGCCGGAGGCCCCGCCCCCAGAGGCCGCGCGTGCGCATCGGCCGCAGGCCGCCTTCACGGAGGCGGAGGGGAGCGGAGAGCGTGGCGGGAGCATGCGCACGAGCTGGTCTTCGGGCCGCGCCAGTGCGCGTGCGCCGGGCTCCCCCGGCGTGGGCGTCTAGGGACGAAAGTGCGAGGGACTCGGTTCTGGGGCGCGGGGCGGGAGTCAGCGTGTAGCCAGGTGAACAGGGGAGGTTCCAGGCCACTCAGAAGATGGGGTTACGTGAACCAGCAACGCCCAAAAAAAGTGTTGGAGACCGACCTAGCTGAAAGTGTAGGAGGCTGACCCAGGTTTGATTCATTCTTTTTGCAAAGTAAGCACACGCAAAACCTTCGCCACCATATCGTATCGGTTTATCCCCAGTGTTTCATAAACAGAGGTAATAAAGTGAAAAAAGGCTCATGTGGTACAGGAAAAGGACAATCATTTAAAGGGAAATGGTTGGCTTCCTGGAAGACTCACCTTGTTGATTTGTTTTGAGCATTTGTGCTCAAATGTGGACCACGCAGTGGAAAGCCTTTGACTAACCCTCTCCTCCCGGCTTCCGCTGGGTGACTGTCGGTTTAGGGTGGTTTTGGGTTATGGAAGGGACTTTTCTTGAGGGGTCCATGGGTGGATTCTACCTGTTGTTTTTAATGTGCCGTCGAGTGACCTGCGACTCATAGCGACCCTATGTACAGCATCCCTAAACCCTGCTCTATCCTGTGCCAATCGCACCATCTCCGACACACCCACCTCGATTACCCCAGTCACTGAATCAATACACCTTATAAAGGGTCTTCCGCTCCTGCGCTGTCCCTCCACCCTCCCAAGCATGATGTCCCTCTCCAAGGACTGGTCCCTCCTCGCAACATGTCCAAAGTGTGTCAGATGAGGCCTCAGAATCCTTGCCTCCAAGGAGCAGCCTGGTTTAACCCTCTCTAGGATGAATCTGTTAGTTTTCTTGGCAGTCCGTGGTACATTCAATACTCTTCTCCAGCACCACAGCTCAAAGGCATCAATTCTCTTTCTATCCTCTAGTCATTGTCCAACTCTCTGATGCATAACAAGTGATAGCAAAGACCATGGCCTGTATCAGATGCACCTTAGTCTTCAGAGTGACATCATTCCTCTTCAGTACTTTGGAGAGGTCCCTAACAGCAGACTTTCCCATAGCAATATGTCTTTTAATTTCCTGGCTGCTGGTACCAAGAGTGTTGTTTGAGGAGCCGAGCAAGCTGTTAACAATCTCAGTCTTTTCACCATGTATCATGATGCTGCCAACTGGCCCAGTGGTGAGAATCTTTTGTTTTCTTGATGTTGTGATTCAGTCCATACTTAAGGCAGCAGTCCTTGCCCTTCTGCAGCAAATGTCTCAGGCCCTCCTCAGTTGTGGCTGCTTGCTGAAAAGCAAAGTTGTGTCATCTGCATAAGGCAGGTTGTTCAATATCGCTGGAAGAAATGTATAAATATATAGATAGGAGCTGTAGAGTAAGTGGTTTGAATCCTACTAGGTCCTCCAAGAGAGAAAAATAGGCAATCCCTTCTTTGTGATTTAGAGCCTCTGTAACTACTGGAATGTCAACTATGCGTCAGTTCTGAGCCCACAGCACATAATAACATTTGTATGTGTGCTTCTGACTCTCTTAAGCTCACCAGGAAGAGGCTGCCTTTGGTTAGCAGTGCCCGATCTTATGAACTAAGCCATCAAAGCTTTTTATACATGTATAATGGTGGCCTAGTGGCAAGAAGCTGTGCTGCAATCCGAAAGCCCTGCAGTTTGAGACCGACAGCACCTCCACCGGAAAACGATACACAGCCTACTCCTGTGTGATTAACTGCCTCTGAAAACCCACCAGAGGGTCAGCTGTGGGTTTGTTCCGACTTGACAGCACACAAGAACGATAATGTGTGTATGTGTATTTACATAGTTACTGTTAGGTGCTGTTGAGTCAGAGTTGACTCATATCTGACCCTCTAGTGGGTTTTCAGAGGCTGTTTATCACAAGGGAGGAGATGACAGAGTTTGAGTAGCCAATGCAACTCCTTACCACTAATCAGAGTTCCATAGAGATAAATACTTTTTTTCTGTCAGATTCGGGACTTTAAGAGGAGAAATGTGGCATCAGGATTGGAAGAAAACTCATCAATAACTTGTGATACGCAGGTGACACAGCCTTGCTTGTCAAAACTGAGGAGCACCTGAAGCATTTGCTGTAGAAGGTCAAGGACTGCAGCTTTAAATATGGATTGAAGCTCAACATCAAGAAGACAAAGATTCTCACCCTTGGGCCAATTGGCAGCATCGTGGTAGATGGTGATGAGATTGAGGTTGTTAACAATTACAGCTTGCTCATCTCCACAGTCAACACTTGACACCAACACTTGACACCAGCAGCCAGGAAATGAAAAGACAAATTGCACTGGGGAAGTCTCCTGTCAGAGACCTCCCCACAGTGCTAAAGAGTAATGATGTCAGTCTAGGGACTAAGGTGTACCTGATCCAGGTCTTCACAATTACTTGCTATGCATCAGAGAGCAGTACAATGACTAAGGATGACAGAAGAATTGATGCCTTTGAGCTGTGGTGCTGGAGAAGAGTCTTGAACATACACGGATCACCAAGAGAACAAACAGGTCTGTCTTGGAGAGGAGGAGGCAAGGATTTTGAAGCTCCGTCTCACACACTTTGGACACATGGGCAGGAGGGACCAGTCCTTGGAGAAGGCCGTCATACCTGGAAGGGTGGAGGGGCAGTACAGGAGAAGATCCTGGATGAGATGGATTGGCTTAGCGACTGGGGCAATTGGGGTAGGTGTGTCAGAGTTCATGAGGCTGGTTCAGGACAGGGCAGGCTGCAGAGCTGCTGTACATAGAGTCTCTATGAGTCACAGGCGACTTGACGGCACATAACAACAACATATTTTATCACCATCTCATTGTTGCGAGTTGGAACCAAATCATTGCTGACTCTCCCATGAGTTTTCAGAGGCTGTAAATCACAGGGGAGGAGACTGCCGATCTTTCTCCCACAGAGCAGCTGGTGGATTCAAACCACTTGCCTTTGAGTTAGCAGTGCAACTCCTTACCCGTGAGACCACCAGAGCTCTTTTAAGTGTTTTTTACATATGCTGTTGTTTTTTTAAAAATACATGGTTGTTGTTTGTTGTTGTTATGTGCCGTCGAGTCGCCTGTGACTCATAGC